TGAACGACGCCTTCGATCGGTCTAATATGTCTCTCCATGTAAACATGTGGACTCGGTATAAACATAAATTTATCAGTATTAAACTTTTCAGTTCTATCGAAACACGCTTTTACTGTATCCATATTAGTACCAGGATTTAATAGGATTTTATCGCGAGCGAAAACTTTAATTGATTTGAAGCGTTCACCACGATAAACAGAATCTATTCTAGGCGACTCGGAAAATTCCCAAGTCTTATTATTAGCGGCGAGGTCAGTTGGCCTAACTGGTTCCTCTATATTTGGCGCAGAATCAGTATTGACTACCGGTTCTACATTTACAATTATTAGCTTGGACGCGTCAAATTTTGATTTATTATTTGATAACAATTCACTAGTGCCTGGTATAGTTTCGCTTTTGGCTACTTTATCCGGTTGGTAAGAATCGATATTCGTATTATTACATACGATATTCCCATATTCACCGTTCGGTGCGAAATGTGATCTACATCTCGTAGTCGGTTCATCTTTATCAAATTCCTTAACTGAAACTTCTTCGATGAATTTTGCTTTCGGTTCGCGATTAGCTTTAATAATGCCCACCGTCTCCGGCGGAACATTATCCGGTTTATACTTTTCTATCAATCGATATGGTAATTTACAGATTTGTTCCGGTTTTAATTTAATCAAATCTTCCAGCTCGGAACGCAATACATACGGTATAAAGAATTCTGCCTTAGTAAACGCGTCCTTTAATTGTTGCTGTTTATCCAACAACAACCGGAATTCGTCTACAAAGACGGATTCGATTTTAGCCATTATTTCCTTGGCTTCCTCGCGACTTACGCCCGTTATTGGCGTACTATCGTCTTCCAGGAAAAGAATATCCTGTCGAGACTTATGAAATAATTCGGTAAGTTCCTATACCTCAAATACAAAAACTCGATATTCTTGCCATAACACGCCAAATGACAAATTCTGTGCCGGTGATCTAATTTCATTCTTGCCCGTGGCTTTTGCCACGGGTAGCGGAACAATTTCGGTTTTAGCGGTCGATTTATTTTTAATAATAGTAGTATTGATAGCGGGTTCCGATGCCACGGGTATCGGAACAATTTCGTTAATAGTATTCGGTTTCGATATTTCTAATGTACTTGGATTCGCTACAGTAACGGTATTAATTGTGCGGATCCATTGCATTGCATTATTGCGCACAGTATAAGTAGTGTTTGCCAAATAATCTTGGCCTAATAATACTTTTACATCATCGACGGTCGGTTTAATATAGAACGAGTGATCGGTAACTTTTCCATAAATACTTATAGTAGCGACACAATAATGTGTCACTAGGAATCCGCGCGTGCCGCCGATTCCCTTAATATTTAACGGTTTAATTAGCGGTATTTTAGTTAATTTTAATTCGTCGACATATTCATTAGAAATAAGCGACGTTTCGGCTCCAGTATCGACCATTATACGCGTTGAGTGACCCTGGACAAATCCCATCTGGGTTAGCGGGGTGCGCGTTTTGGTTCATTTAGAGAATCGGTAGTAGAATAGTTTACGTTAATATCGCTATTATTCATTTCGTAATTATTCGGTTCAGTTAGCTCGGTGATTCGGATACCTTTAATTCTTATAGTTTCAGTAGTATCCGGCGGTTCACCAGGCAACAGGGGAGTATCGCCGGAATCTACTCCCCGTTGTCGTTTTCCTGGCTATCGGTTGGAGCAGAAGAACTCTGCTGCGGCGGTGGTGTTCCTGACGTCGGCCTAGGACCATACTGTTGGCCTGCCGGACGCCGCGACTGCGAATTATTACGGGAGCGACCACCATTAGGCGTGCTTGCTCCACTACCACTTTGACTGCCACGACCACGGTAGAAATCCCGAGCGTATCGGCGATTCCCGGTTACCGGATCGTGATACGATAGGTAAATAGGATTTTCGGATCGCGGCACGTCTTTAAACTGACATGCTTCATAATAATGTCCCCAGACATCACACTGTTGACAATATTCGACAACACGACCATTTCTCATCTCCTTCTCCAATCTTGGAGTTCGGTCAGTATTTTCTGGAATGCGTCCAGAATTCTCAGCCCATAACTGAGATCGATTCTGATTGCTGATTGCCGGTATTATTGTTGTTATTGTTACTGGCCGGTCTTACATTGCCACTATCATTGGCTTTATTAGCTGGTCTAACATTACTGTTATTAGCAGGTCGGTACGGTCGCCTATTCCCATTACCGTTGGGACGCGGCGGACTGGCGGCCGCTGCTGCGTAGCTTACTGGTTTCGGTTGGGACTGCACCGTACGAACGGTAGCAGAATCGGTATCCTGTTGGCGTTTTTACTTCCAACAGGTACTACGTACTTATCGGGATTACTCGACGATAAGTATCGGATAATTTCGAGGAATTTCTCCGGCGTTTGCGGATCCATAACTTCTAACTTATCGTGCAAACGTTCATGCGTTCGCACACCCTTTACCAAAAGAGTGACGATTTGTTCCGGAGAACCGGTAAAACCAGCACGATCGCGCAGAGTCATCATCGATTGGAAATACGCTTCAAGCGTTTCCTGCCCTGGGCGATAAGTACGGCTAGTTAATTCGGCTAATGCATTAACCGTGCGTCGGGTATCACCGAACCGCGCGATCAACTGTGCACGCCATTCCCGGTATGTAGTCGGCTTGCTACTCGAGGCGATTAAACCATTATACCAAATAATGGCCTCGTCCTTTAAGCAATATGCTAATTCGGTAATCTTACGAGTATCGCTATTCCATCGGTTTTCTTCGGCAGCTTGCTCGAACTTAATCAAGAAGCTGTCGATATCTTCCTTGCTTCCATTATAAGACGGCCTAGGAACTGGCTGTCTCATCGCATCTGCGAGATCGGCTTTCCTAATGGGACTATTAGTCCGACTAGTTCGCTTGTTCATTCTACGGAGTTCCTCGCGCACGGCATCACAAATGACCGCTGCGTCGGTCGAGGTTACTCGCTCTTTACTTGGACGATACTCGAAACTAGGTGCCGATTCCATGCGGGAATGCTGGGTTTCGGTATTACCAGCCCGCACTCGTATCACCGGTCGCTCTTCGTATTCGCCCTGGCTTTCGTTAGCGGCGCTTAATAACTGTTGATACTTCGCTAATAAATCGTTATATTTATTAGCTAAACCATTATACTGTACACGACTATTCTCAACAATTGTCTCAAGTTCGCCAATTGTTTTTAGACGATCATTCGATTCTGTCGATAGTTGACCGATTGATTGGAACGCTTCTAGATACTGTTCCTGTGATTTACGTACCGATATATCGGCATTCTGCAGATCTAGTTTCAATCGGTCAATCGCATTATCACGTTCGATAACTTTCTCTCGCAGGCCGATCGCGGCGTCATGCGCCTTCTGATGGGCGCCCTTCGATGTGCGTAATTGTTCCTGCAAGCTATCTCTCTCTTTCTTCCATTCATCTTTTTCCTTTTTTAACTCATCTCGCTCTTTCTTCATATCTGATATAACCCGATCGCGATGGTTTAAACCAGATTCGGCTTTCTTTAATCTATTCACAAAATCGGCATTGTCAACTTGAAGTTGAACTATGGTGTTGCTCGCTTTGCAGCACCTATCACTGCTACCTTTTCTCCGGTAGACGGTATCAGGCTTACGGGCGTTAAATCACGACCCAGCGCCTTATCGATTAAGTTCGGACTACTATGTGCCTTTTGAAATCTAGGCACTACAGTTTGCGGTTCATCGTCATCTGACGTTTCGGTTTCTTTATCCAGTTCGGCTGGATCAATTAATGAGACCGACGATAACGTCGATCCAATCGATTCGACACTACTATCAGACTTTTCGATATTTGCCGGTGGTATTTCAGAATTAAATTCTGAAATTTCCTCATCAAGGTTTATCTGAACGGCCGGTAAAACTGTCACTTCCGTTTCATCTGACACTGGGAAATCTGCCAACGGCTTTCGCTTATTATTATTTACTCGCTTTTTTACTTGCGGTAATTCTTGGTGAAAGAACGATACACCCGTACTGGTAATTTCTTTCACTTTATTGCGCGTTATTTTCCCAGGAGGCTGAATTACTTCCTCGCTGGGTCGGTTCGTATCACTGTCATCACTATCAGACTGATTGCGGATTATCCGCCCGGCTGATCGCACTGCCTCAGCGGCGAAATGCTTAACTTTAGCTAGCGGTGTTCGGTGCATTTCAGAATTATCGAAAAATAAACGATAATTCTCACGATTATACTGTAGTAACTCGTACGGTAGATCATGCGGTAAATCTATTTCTAATTCCCATAATTGGGTCGGTTCGTCGATAAAATCAATTAAATCGCGTAGCGATTTCCGATTCGGGTCTAATAAAATATACTGAGCAATTTCGATTAATAGTTTACCGAATTATCGGTAAATTAACATTACATCAGCGGTGTACAACCTAACTATTTCGGCAATAGGTTCGGTAATAATCGTAGAAGTATCAACAATTATAATTACGGCAGCTTAGCACGGTTGCTTTTCAGCTTCCGTGGTCGGTGAACTTTACAGTAAATGTTCGATAAATTCGGTTTATTAATTCTGGTATTTCTGCCAGAAAATAATACGGCTAAATGTAAACGATTTCCACAAGGAAATCGAAAACTACACGTTAATTTTATCGATGATTACGATAATACGGCGATGTAGCACAGATGCTTTTACAGCTTCTGTGTTCGGTTAGATTTCGATATGAATATCTAATAATTTCGGTTCGTTAATTCTGGTATTTCAAACCAGAAATTATTGCGGTTTAATATCAGCGATTTCAATAAAGAAATCAGTAATCAGACGGTATTATTATCGATTATACGATAATACGGCAATATGATACAGATGCTTTACAGCTTCTGTAAGCGGTTATCAATTTCAGAAAGGATCGATAATTTCCTTCTAAAATTATTCGGTAACAAGGCCTAGACGACCTTGATCGGTATCTGCAATTTTGCAGCGGCTTACCTGCTAGCTGACGTGACGACTGCTGAAGGTGATGCGGTCGACGCTCGCTTGCTTGGTTGCTTGCTTGCTTGCTTGCTTCCGAAATTGTCGTCCGGACGCAGACTCGCTTTTCCCGCTTCAGCTTCCGCTCAGAAGAATGCCTGGACTGTGGGCTTTCTTCTGGTATCCGAAAGAGACGGGTTCCGATCGGTGGTGACGGGAAATCAGCTCAGGAACTCCGCGATGTCGGGCTACTGACGCTGGCACTTCCTCGTCGCTTGTGTACGGCTGCTGTCCACACTTCGCTGTAGGCGGAAGGCAGACTCGGTGGCCGATACAGAGAAATCCGGTAATGCGCGCTATTGACTACGCGCCAGGTAAATTAAATCAAAATTAAAGGGATACGGGAATCTTATTGCATCTCACCATGTCAGCGTGGTGCTCACGCTGCTCAGGAAAAACAGAAGAAACACCAGCCACAAAACGATCTTTTATTAGTTCTCGAAGAAAACAATAAAGGCACAATGCCCAAAACACAATCTCATGCGGGAAAACACGGTCGAGCTGTAGAATGTAGAATTCTACAGCGAGGCTGATCACTGAATGAGAAAACCGATCGTAGATCGGTGAATCGAAAAAGCAAAATCACGTGCATGTGTGCACTGTGCAAAACAAAGCCCATCGGAAGTGGCGCGACTCACCTATACGGCGGCACCACTGCTCTGACACAGCTTTGTTGCGGCTTGAACACCTCAGTGGATCCCGTTACCACAGCCACTGATGTTTTCAGTTTAGGTTGCACCGTCATCGAAATGTTTCAACGCAAGCCACCGGAATGGGCCGCACCGGGTGACGTTAGGCACGAGCAGAATTTGAAGCCAGATCAAAGTTTAGGGGATTTTTATCACAATTTATGGGAGTTGTTACACAAGGAAGCTGTACCCGTCATTTATCCACATGTATACCAAGATTTCTGGAATGGTTATAACGCTCAACACTTTATCAAACAATGTTTCAGAAGCGCAACTTTTAGACCATCATGTGCCATGTTGATGGAAGATGACTTTGTCAACGACGTTTCGTCTGACTCGTTTGGCAGCAGCTGTCAGTACTGTTTTGATACAACAGAGATCATTCGACAGGATGACAGCGGTACAACCTACAGCGCAACGATTACCGATCGCGGGGATTTTACTGGTGACGATGTTGTAACGGTTAAAATAATCCCGTTATTTAAGGGCACCACGGACACCAAAGCAGATATACTGAAGTCGGCCCACTCTTATCAACCGAAATGCGACAAACTAAAAGAGTTACTTCAATTACGAAATAAGCATACAATCGCGCATCACAAAGCTACCATCAGAAGAAAACTCGCCGTGGGAGAAGCAACGGTTGAATTGTTGATGGACAAATGGACTGGTATGTGGGGAGAGATAAAGTTTTTATAATATGTATTCCCGTAAGAAGTCGCGACAATTTAAAATACTGCCATGTTTATGATAACTTTGCCTCCAGCCTTACAATAATTTTTCAGGCAGCTAGGTATTTTACCGCGTTTCGATCGACAAACCTGCCTTTGTCGAATTTACCGCACAGTGCAGCAAAACCTGAACGCTATCTTGTCACAGTTAAACCGTCCTGACGGATGAACTGTCCGCCTGACAATTTTGCCTGTAAGCTGGCAAAACCGCCCGCCCTCGAATATGCAGTCCTGGTCGTTCACAACGTCGAACAAAGCAGAAAAAACCTGGGTGGGAAAAGTTTACGGCGGACGGTTTTTTGGACCGCCGAACGGTTTTGTCGCTCACAGGCAAAAGCGTCCGGCGGACGGTTATTCATTCCGGACGGTTTTGCAGGTTGCAATCTTGCAGGGTGTCCCTACCGTACAGAGAGAGGGTTTCTGGTTCATATAGCGATGAGGACTGACAGTGGACTGTAAAAACCTGTTACATTCGGTCCTCGACCGAATGACCAATAAAACAAATGGCCGAGACCGAATGACCAATAAACAGGAAACGCGCAGGACTTTGAACGCCTGCATCTTGCGCATTTTCCAACGAAAACCATCAACTGATATCCCAAACGAAAGAGCACAAAATTTCAAGAATTTCGATACCAAACAGGTCATCCTTTATCCGATTTATGAGAACATCGAGCCGTTTTAGTTTGTCGTAGACAAAGCATACGATTTCTGTGTGAGAACCGAAGACAAACAGTGGATTCAGATCTTATGTTATGTCTACGAGAAAATTTAGGTTGGTCGATTTTCTCTTAGATCCCATAAAGAACAACCTACAGAGTAAGGATGTTGCATATCCAATATCCAAAGTGTATCCATATCCAAAATATTCTAATATCATATCCATATCCAAGGCTAGCCGGCAGGATACGGATATTTTAGGATATTATAAGATATTTTGAGATATTTTGGATACACCGGATATGCTTGGATATAGCTTGAATTTTGTTTATCACAACAATAAAAGCTTTAGCCAAAAAATCTACGCTAGATAACAATAACAGCTAGGCTAAGGAGCGATATTCATCTGATTCCTTTCTAGAGTTTTTGCTGAAACAAATAATGAACTAAAAGGAACAAGCTAAAAAACTGGTTACATTCGGCCCGGCTTTGAGCAAATTGTTATCCTCGCGAACTCTTAAAAAACGATTTTTGTACCCAGTCAGTGCAGGTATTTGCGGCGCCTTCGCAGCTCTTTTGGCATCAATCGCTCCGCTTCGCGGAGCGGTTCTAAAATTGTTACCTGATTTCCCAAGAGTACAGCAAACATTTCGTGGGCGGAAAATTTGTCCACAGGCTTTTGTTTAGCATTTGGCAGTTGTTATTAAAGGAAATGCTACAGCGCTTTGAACAAAGTACTCTTCACCTTACCTACTGTAGAGAGAATAGATATAAATTTTTTTAATGTTACAACTGTAATTACAAGCGATTGCACCTCCTTGTTATTCTAGAGACTACAAATTATTTAAAAATAATTTTTTAGTTGCACAGGATATATCCGGATACGAAAGGATATATCCATGATATATCAGGATATATCCTGTATCCACCTCTTAGGTCTTGGATATCCACAACCCTACTACAGAGTATTTGGTATCAAAATTCTTGAAATGTTTTTCTCTTTCGTTTGAGATATCGGTTGATGGTTTTCGTTGGGAAATGCGCTAGGAGCAGGTGCCAGGTCAACAGGCCGATTGCCAGTTCTGCATTTGCCTGTTTGAGTACAGAAAAGTGCCTGGTTGCGCGCTTTGTAACACCTTTTTGCAGTCCACTGTGGGTACTTATTAGTACGGTAACTAGCTCTTATGACGACATTAGCCATAAATTCCGACTTCATAATCCTACTCAGCACGTCAAAATAAGTAAGAAAGCTTGTTTTTGTCGAGCCCATAATCAGTCGGCAATTTCAGAGAGGGTAGCCAACCCAGAAACCAGTATTGCCCACAGCAGAACTGAATACTACTCTACTCTGTAGACAGAGAAGTATACTAGTAGTTAGGCGACCCGCCATTTTGTCGACCGACACTTCCTCGAACAGGCACGATGTTGACCCCTCATGACGTCGAGTTAGCGTTAAGCTAAACCGTTTTAGTATTTCATTTTCTCAGCAATTTCAGATTTTTTACTCTTGCGTTTTTACATAATCCACATATTTAATAATACACAAACTCTGTAATAACACGCACTGTTTTAATTTCTTCGCGGCAGTTGAAAATGCAGAGTTTACAGACGACGCAGGTGTATAACTGGAAGGTTATTTTGTTAGGCATCACCCTGGATCAACACATAAAAAGCATAGCGCTACCATCGCGGCTGGACTATAGTTCTGTAATCAAGTGGGGAATCCAGATTACCGAGGGAGTTCGTTTTCTGCATGGAAAGAACATCGTACACGGTGACCTGAAACCAGCCAACATACTTATAGGCCGCTGGAAGAACGGCGAGCCTATATTAGTTATTGGCTGTCTCGAGCATTTCATTCGCGTCCAGGAAAGCGGCAACAGTGACGTCCGTGGCACTGAGTCGTACATGTCACCGGAAATGCTTCGGAGGCTTCATATTCGACCCGAGAATCTCTCCGACCTACCAGTCGACATGCGAAGCATCGAATTGGGATTATCAAGCGACATCTGGAGCCTGGGATGTGTTCTTCTGGAGGTTGCAGAATGCCAGAAGGGCGTTCGCTATAAAAAACTGCGATATGACGGAAAAGACAACGTCAAAGAACGTGTTATCGAAACCCTTGTGGATGATATTAATGGACACATAACGAATACTGTGCATGGATTTGTTCCCTACTTGGACGACTCAGTCGATGATGACGAACTGAGAGGCTGTATCAGTGACTGTCTACGCACAAATAGTAGCGAAAGAATTTCTGCAGTTGAACTGAAGGGGCAATTGAAAAACCTGCTATTGGTAACGTGTAGTGTAGAAAATCGTACGTTACTCCCTTGATAACCTAATAAGAGGGCACGGTATCGCATGTGGAGCGTATGGTTTTCTGAAACTAAACGAATGGAATGCAGTGGCTATTTTGTTCCATAATCCAGAGATTAATTGATGTTTTTCAGGGTCTACAGAAGGCAGGAGAAGCGAAGATTCCTGTCAAAGCTTTGGGAAGCGACTGTCAGTATAACAAAAGTAGCGACTGCATAGACTCTTTTGGGAAAATCTACAGGGCTGTGGTTACAAGTCGCGGTGCATTTTCGGGGAAAGATCAGGTTGCAGTTAAACTCGTTTATGTCAATCCAGACGTTCCGGTTGTTGCAGCCGACAACAATTACGGAAATTTGCGCCTCAGGTTAGAAAAATTACTGGATCTTCGGCACGAAAATATCCTGCGGTACCACAAAGCCACAATAACCAGAGCGCATGCCGGTCCGGTCATAGAGCTACTCATGGATTACTGCGAGGGTAAAGATGCGAAGTGTAGAAATTAATGTTTATAAGGATAATTTTGTTGTTTATTAAAGCCAGAACTTTAATTTAAATCAGCTTGCATACCGTAAAATGGGACTGTAAATATCGAAAAACATGGAATAGTCCATTAAGCTTGCGCTCCCTTAATAGTATTTCACTCGCTTCAGTAGAAATTGCGGACTGACATTCAGAACAACTGGCAACAGAACACTTATTTTAAAGTGGTTCCTTTAGCAGTTTTTGCCCGACTCCGCCGTGTCCGCTAAATCATCACCTGCTTTGCTTCTAGGTGGAGACCTAAGCGTCTTCTTGAAACAGCTGCGAGCAAGGATGATATCCTGGATAAAGGGGTGGCTGTTCGCTTTTCCCTTGAAATGGCAAGTGGCCTGCAGTTTTTACACCAGCAAGATATCGTTCATGGAGATTTACAGCCAGAACACATATTAATCGATCATACAGCGGACAACCACAAAATAATGGTTATTGGCGGGGTGGATGGTCTTATTTTACCGATTCAATCAGTTGGAAGCAATACCACTATTTTGCATAAACAAGGCACTCTGCGATACAGTGCACCTGACTATTAAAGGATTCTGAGATAACACCCAACCAGCAAACTGACATCTGGAGCCTTGGCTGCATTTTCTTACAGCTTGCCAACTGCATTGTGAAAAATCCGGACCAGTTGCACAATGGCAGTACGAACGTGGTAGTCAAGGAAGACACTAGCGACGCTCAGCTTGTAGCACTGGTTATTAATGGCTATGCACCATTCGTTGGTATCAACATACCGTTACTTGTAGCTGATTCAGAGCCAGAAATCTTGAAATTTTACGTGAACACAAATAATTTTGGAAAGAGGGGAGCACGGATTATTTGTTCTGTGTATTTTGTATCGGCGTACATTTACAGTACAGTTAGGAGAATATAGCGTGAACCCCGTCAATCGCATAGCGCTTAGCCTTGGCCTCGATGTGGCTACAAATACCTGAGATCTCAGACACAACGAAGCCCACGGGAGTTGCTATAAAGAGTTCAACACAGATGCTTAATACTGTTTTATAATGGGAAGGGCAAGCATGAAGTTAAGCATTATTTCAAATCAATGTAGAAAAAGCAACTTTTGCGCGAAGCGCGAAGCCAACGAATCATTTTGCAGCAGTACAGCCAGAAAATTCACCAAAAATAGCAATAATATGTACTTGCGCATTTGTAATCGTAATGAACGCAAGGGCCCGACGCAAGGCTGTTTTCAAGTCAATATTAGGAATAGGAAGTTCATGATTATCGGGGTTCAAGAGGTTTAACTTTCGCGAGAAGTGTGAAATTAGCGCTTACAGAATACTGCAGTATACTGCAGTCTGTAACTTGCAAGTATCTTCAAGAAGTTTGTAAAACATAGTTGGCAAGCCGAATGGTTAATTTTTTATATCTATTGGTATTTGTAGTTAAAATTAGATGACCACTCCGTACACAACCTTTTGCTACCTTTTACATCGTACACAACCTTCTGCGCTACCTTTCGTTCCGTGCACAACCTTTTTGCGCTACTTTTCCTTCGGTACACTATCTCTTTTAGCACTACTTTTTACTCCGTACACAACCAGTAGTCACTACCTTTATCTGATTGCACTACTTTTTAAATTTGTTCACAGCAAAGTTATAACTAGAACTGCCGATGCTTCGTTACCAGCTGTTATTGCCGCATAACTGAAAGAATATAGACAGCTATAAATTCGAATTCCAGTGAGTAAATAAATCTAGCACCCGTGTGCCGGTTTTTCTTCGCAGGGTTTGGACAGTGCCATTTTTAAACGAATTTTCGACCTAATTTCCTAGGTCTCTTCCTGTGTAAGAAGTTGCCGCGGGGTCGTTACAATAACGGGCAATCTCTGCCGCCAACGCTGACCATCGCTTTTTGCCGTTTCGGCCATGGTTAAATTGGATGCAATGCGCTCCCAGTTCGTATGAATCTTCTTAAAGCAGTCGAAGAAAATGCCAGTTAAGTATATATAAAAGTATGGTAGTCCATCTAGTAAAAGGTAGCGTAGATTGGTAGTTACCGAATGAACTGTAGTGTCAAAGGTAGTCTACCGAAAGAAAGGCAGTGCCTCGAAACGTTGTGCAAGGAACGGAAGGAAGTGCAAAAAGTTGTGTATGGAGTAGTCACCTTAAAATTATCGTCATTCGTCAATCGGTTAATTGTCCAGTTGCAGTAAATGAAAAGACCGTAAACAAACTGTTGAGCAAGTGTAGTTCAATGTATGTTTTAACAAACGAAGAATCCTTCAAGAATTAAAAGTTCCCTAATTGCTGCTGCCATTTTATTAAATGTTTTCGTTAGTTCTAGCCGCAACACTTCGGTCCGATTTAAATTTACAACGCGACAGGTTTCCGCTAGTACATTACAACCATTCGTATTTTCAGGTTATGCTACCGCATATATTTGTCATATATGGGCGGGAATTAAGTGAGAGTCTGAGACCATTAAGTGAGATCGCATTTAAGTGGAGCCATTATGACTTCCCGCCCGGTTGCATTGTTGTAATTGACGTCTGAAACAACCTTGAATTTGCACTAATACTAAAATGAAATAACAGTTTGAAGCCGAAAATTACATGATAAGGGGGGAGTATTGGGAATTTTTAAACACAAGTTGCCATCTACGTGAACACACGCACCTTTACGTGAACACACTTTGTGTTACGTGAACACAAGTTTGCAGGCCCTGAGCTGATTATATCCGAAACTGTTTGAAGCCGACAGGGGACCAAAGGGTTTCAACGACCGAATTGGTGGCATCTATCACAGCGGTAATGACAGCTAAAGTTATAGCAAAATGACCACCGCATCCTACATTTTAAATTACACGCAACTTACCGATTAAAAGGCGACGGGTAGATCAGCGTAGCATAAGAAAACATCATTATTTGCCTTTCTTTTCAAAATATATTTTATAATATTGCAGATAATAAACGTTAGCCCACGTAATTTGAAGTTTGCACTGAACTCAGCGAGGCGCGAGTTAAGCCTTCGCCGAAAGAGCATTTTTGCTTGCCGCCACGAAAACCGGGTTGTATTTATTTTAAGAAATCTAGCATTTTTATTGGATGCTCCATTTTTTAATTGCACTGAAAGCTTGCCTGGTGCAAATCATTGGTCAGTTACACTTAAACTTAAAATCTTAAATTCACTTAACTTATTAGCTGCTCGCTTTAATACATTGACACGCTCTTAAGAAGCGGCATTAAACCCGTATTTATTTGATGCAGGCCAAACTGACGCATCCAGAAATCGCTTCAGCAGTTGGCGAACACATGGGATCATTTGGCAGCCTGGAGAATTACATTTATAACCGAAACTCTGACTACATTGGAAAAGGGTCATGTGGTATTGTCTACATGGCTGCTTTAACAGAAAGCAATCCTGACGTGCGTCCTGGCAGTGTTAGTATAGCGGTAAAAGTCATGCAGTTAAACACAAACGATTTCCACGTCGCGGAAAGCTATCCCCGAATACTGGGTCGATTGCAAGCGCTAATACAACTCCGACATCCTCGAGTGGTTGCGTATCATAAGATCACATTAACGAAAGCTACACGAGGGATATCCGTAGAGTTGGCCATGGATTACTATCGAAGTAAGTCACCCGTACAGGGTGAACAGATGGATTGTCTAAATATAAGTTTCCACTTACTAAGTAGCAGTCGCGATTGGGAATGTATATCTTACCTTACCATTAGCCTCACACGCAGCGCTACGAACATGGAAAGTTAGAAACACCTGGTTGTTATTGAAGCTGGATACAATGACGTTATCGATCTTAAGGGATTTGGCCCGGTAAATAGCACCAAATTTGTATACATCCACCGATCCACGGCAACTTTCACTGTCGCGCACTCCCAAACACTTTTTTGCATTGCTTTATGATATTTTGTAGCCAAAGGATTCGTATACACAAGCGAAAATACCGTTTGTGCGCGCAACATGCGGTTGGGGAGTTATTGGTGAAATAAAATTCCAAAAGTTTAAACGCGCGGGGGTGTACCAAAAGTCTCATTATGAACCGATGCTCTTCAAATTTTGCACGAAAACACACATTACTATGAAGGGAGTTTTGAAATTCATTTTAAAATTTGAAAAAAATGGGTAGAAAGCTGGTTCGGTACCAAAACGATCTTCATAGTAATGTGTTTTCGTGCAAAATTTGAAGAGCATCGGTTCATAATGAGACTTCTGGTACACCCCCACGCGTTTAAACTTTTGGAATTTGATTTCATTAATAACTCCCGAACCGAATGTTGCGCGCGCAAACGGATTTCACGCCTACTATATAAATCCTTTGGCTACAAAATGTCATAAAGCAATGCAAAAAAGTGTTTAGGAGTGCGCGACAGCGAAGGTTCCTGTGTATGTACCCGAATTTGGTACTATGTACCGGGCCAAATGAGGCGCCGCCCGGCCCAATTCCCTTAACAAGATCGATACCATGCATTGTTTTAAATCACTGGACAAAACCACCGAGTATACAGACTAAGTCTGTACACTCGGTGGTTTTGTCCAGACCTAAACGGTTTAATAAACGTCGAACCAGGCGAAAATAGTGTCGGCAGTTCGCTTACCGCGGTTATGCTGGACGGCAAAGGGCTCTTACGGCCTTTTTACATACAGAGGACCCAGAAGCTTTTCGGTGTTGTAGTAGTTAGGTTAATTTGCCTATGGGGTTTTGCAGATGGAAACCTTGCAAGTCGGCTAAAAATGCTGCGGGAACTCGGAGCGTTATTTCCGGAGAAAATGGTTATAGAATATGCAGCAAATCTTGCAAGCGGATTAGAGTTTTTACACCGAAACCACATTGTCCATGGTGATCTGAAACCTGAGGTCATCTTTGTGGAGCAGTTGGAAAGTGAACAAACTAAATTGGTTATCGGCGGCCTGGATTACATAACGCAGACACTTTTACGCGGCAGCTACCCTGGTGGTAGTACTCGCTTGCGCAGTTCCATCTGGTACATGTCGCCAGAAAATCTTAAAAGAACTTTGAGCGGATCAACCGAAACGTGTGAATTGAAGTCTGACATCTGGAGTCTTGGCTGCATTTTGCTAGTTTTGGGAAAATGTGTGACAGGAAATTTTAAGACATGCCTGCGCAAAGCAACCGGCGAAATCGTTACTGGAACGGAAAAAACACTTTTGGATACTCGTTTTGTTGAACTGATAATGGATGGTTACGTTCCTGTTGTCGATGATAGAATATTGAGAACTCTGCAGGTTTGTATAGAAGGCTGTTTGCGCTTGGACAGTATCGAAAGGTTTTCAGCAGCAGAAATTGTAAGCCAGCTTAAGGCGTGATACCAACATGGCTTTTTAGAACGAAACATAAAGTTGTGCAATTTCTCTTGTTCTTGCTCTTGCCGTACATCCGCTAGCTCTGTAAAGTAAGTATATAACATCAAGATAACAGATAAACATATCTGGAAAACAGAACTAAAACGTGAACAGCATATAACAAAAACACGTTTGCTATGTTTTCCGTATCCGGAAAACGTGCCCATTACACACAGCGCGTTTCCTCTTGGAATCTGGATCGACAGACGCTGCCGGAAAAACTCTTTGGAACCTGGTTGGCCTGTGGCCAGAGCTATTCCGCGTCTAAGAAAGGAGTATGACATCATCACATTAGCCGTCGCTGCGCTTAAAAGCCTAAACTGGGCAATCTGTACTACCCGTACGTCTCATACAACTGCACTCGTACATACGTAAGCGGCACCGCCGCTACATTCGTCATAAGTTCTGTATATCTCGAATGCAGCCGATATAAAGTTATACCTCGGATTTAGCTAAGCGTGCTTTATTCGATATTGCTTAGCTTAGCATATTGGCTGTAAAGTTGGCAAATAAAGGTAGTACAAAAGAAAGCCATGTTGCTTCTTTAAGGTGAGGCGAGCAGGTATGTACAGAGTATTGTACATTATACTAACCAAATACACGTGCATGCTCCAGCTCGGAAATTTTTCACTTCTGCGCACTCCCAAACTCGTTTTTGAATAGTTCTGTGACATTTTATGGTCAAATGATTTGTACGCGTTGACGGGAAAACTTATGCGCGCAACATGTGGTTACGGAGTTAGCAGGCATTTTTGAAATAACATTTGGAAGTTTGGAACCGTTTAAACGCTACCTGGTGTGGTAAAAGTCTCATTGTAGACCGATATTTTGCAAATCTGTTACATAAATGAACATACGCGTAAAGCTTATTTTTACACCAAACCAGGGTGCTCAGCTTTTTTTCACATCTTCCAACGAACTTCCAAAATTTCAAAATTTGTAAAACGGTTTACTATGTGTTGACCCGAAAACACTGCAGGACATCATAAGCAAGGAAGGCACACAATTTTACTCGGCTTGTTTCCATCGATTGATTAACAGTGCGATACGGTAGGTAGTAGGTACTTGTACATCGTAGAATTGTGCAGCGCCTTGCATCCTGAGATGCGTTATCACGCGAATACGCGCTATAGCTGTCCCTGTTTTAATGCAAAAGCGCGAGCACATACCTGAAAGAAGTTACAGTATTTTCGATTATATAAAAGCGTCCACTCGTCGTAACGTCGACTACTTGTATGCGATTATAGTCTCGCTTTTCGGGAGATGGGAAATTGTGTTTGGAACAATTGACTGTTTTCACCATTAAGTACCTGTACTTCAAACGTTTGTGAAATCCAAATTTTCAATAATTAGGGGCCAGGTAGATAGTTATTTTCCCAGTATTCCAACGTGGATTGTGGTAGAGTTTTCATGTCCAGGTTCGGATAGCGCTCGGGATTATCCGGGTCGTTGGTGAAATCCGAAAGCGGTCCGCCCCTGGCAAGCAAATCGGACGCATGCGGCCGCTCTTTCGGATCGAAATTCAAGCAACGGAGGACGAAGTCCCTGGTGCTGTTCGGTAACGACTCGGAAATGAAAGGAAGTTTATCTTGTGGATTTTTGCTATTGTTTAAGCGATAGAGAACTGCCATTTCCAAATGCATAGGCTGGTTCTTTGCTCCAATATACAAGGGTGGTTGTCCAGTTAGCAGATGCAGTGCGACACAACCAGCGCTCCAGACATCGCTTTTTCGTCCGATATTATGGTCTGTGCCAGAATTAATCAACTCCGGAGCAACAAAGCGACCGTCTTCTCCTGAACGAGCACTGATCTCATGTTTCGTTGTATGATCCGCTTCCAGTTGTCGCATCTTATGGAAACCCCCGATCTTAATTGTTCCAGTAAAATTCGCTTCAGTAAAGAAAATTACCCGGCTGCTTAGGTTGCGGTGAACGACACGATTTTGATGCAGAAAATTTAAGCCGCACAACATTTCGTACAACCATTTTTGTATCACATCGAGTGGCAAATGGTGGCTTGCAGCGTCCTCGAAATTTCCGCCTGCAACCATTTAACTGCACACAAAAGCAGGAGAGATGCTATCTAGCTAGTTTACCGAACAATGTACATGTTTCACTTGTGGCCTAAGTCCTAACTAGCTAGGGGTAGTTATGCAGGTAGCCTCACTGAGCAGACTTGCTGAAAGCCGACAGGCGGCGATGTGCTTTTAGATGGCAACGAAAACGTTAACTTCAACTGTAACAGGAGCGCTAACCGTGAGTAAGTTCTTTGAGTCTTACATACCTTACTTTCTGCGATTATTACGTTATCGATTGAATTTAAGCGCTTCGTACAAAAGAAGCTAAACCAGCCAAACGTCTATAGAAACAGACACAGTAACACAGCCATGACACCCTGGTGGCATTTTTGTACTCGTACGCGTAATATGCACATTGATTTTGTAGATATCACAGTCACACGGTGCTATGACTTTACGGTAAGCATATAATAATAAAAACTGCAGAACTCCCTTTCCCACATAATTGCAGACACCAGCATAATACGATACTAACCTGCACAAAATTCGGCATACACTTGGAACTCTGGGCAACATCCTCTGATCAATGGTGGAGCAAATCGCCATCCGAAAAACTGCACAACGTTGACACTATCGGTCTGCAGACGGCCAATTCTCTGATCTGGCATTGTATTAAGCAGGTTTAGCAAGTTCTTGAAAGCTTTCATGTAAAATTCTCGGTCAGTCTTTTCGTTCAACAGTTGAAACCGCCAAATTTCAGCAGTTTGACCAGTGGCAATGCCCGGACTATCACCCAACTGGATTTCTCCTACCTGCATACGACACTGTGACGTATCCTTTAGAAACGGGTGTTGCCGTATGTTGATTATTTTTATTTGATCCGCGCTGGCGGTAGTCACCGGGTACGACTCCGTGCGGTCGGGTGCGTTTAACTCCTCCAAAGATTTGCTCATATCGATAAAACGATGGGCTTGAAGCTCTTGGAGAGACGATCGTTCAGCTGCATTGCGGTTCAACGAACACTCAAGAAATTCTTTGCACGCAGCGCTCATATCTGGGATGGGCGGAATTTCCGGCCCTATCATTAGACCGGCTTCAGAATCGTGCTTGTAAAACGTTTGAAGGTTTTCTAGTAGCGGCCCCTCATTCAGCCCGAAAACAACTTTATCTGGACCATTTTGCCAGAACCGTTTGAGTGTTAACGGTTTTCCAAGGTTCAACAAATGCGCCAGCAGGCATCCAGCTGCCCAACTATCCACTTTGCTAATATCGGCTGTCAAATGCGGTAGATCCGGAAGGCATTCTGGGGGTATATAGGCCACATTTGGCGATCTTTCTTTTAGCCACTTGCTCCACAGTGAGGTTAAATTTGGTTTTGTATCTTTTAGAGTGTACACAAGCGTAGAATTTTCATCCCCATCGTAAGCAGTGTTGTCGAGATAAATACTTCCAGGATTAAATGGTTTGCGAAGAATTTCAAACAAACACTGGCGAATTTGTTGTTCATCCAGGTAGATATCTTCAGTGCGCAAATCTTTGCCCAAATCTAAACAATTGAAAACTTATTTCACAGTTATATGCAAAACCCTAAACCTCAAAACGTCTACTTGTGGATTACTCTACGAATCGGGAACGCAAACATTTCTAGTACTGCCATTATCCGTTTTCAAGGGAATCGTACTGAAATACTGGACACGATATTCCCGGGGCAAATTTCTGTGAGTGAATATTTACCATCAGCTGAGGAGACAAGAAGCAACTCCGTGGCTGTTTCCGTAATAATTCTTTGTCACGAGAAAATAAAAAAGGTTTCGATCGTCCTTTAGAAAATGAAAAAGAGATTCGGTATCTTATGTACTGTACCTTTAGCCATACTGATGCCGGTCAATCAGATGATGATATTCGTTCCTTGACTAAAGTTTTTCGTTTTGACTGAAGTTGTATCGAAAAGTTGACTAAAGTTGTATCGAAAAAGTTTTTCGATACAATCACAAACTTCCCATTACAACATGACAAACCAAAACTCAGCAGTAGTTATTACCGTTACTAGATAAAAGCCGTGAGAACAAGAGGTTCAGTATCGTACTAACATGCATACTATGCGGTGCAGCTACATATTATGTAGCTTACGCATGGCCCCGACCTTTCTGACACGAGAATGCATTAACTGATAAGTCGTATGACGTTTTATTTGCCCGCAGACGGTACTCGTATTATCGTGTACGCTCTGCGCAAATAGTACTAATTTTATTATTACGGCATTTCACATTAAAAGAACCATATACTGTTCACTCACATGAACTTCACTGAGTATGCTGATCGTCTGTATGAGAGTTAGAGCTAGTGCAGCGCTCGCTACCGCTAACCGGCGCTGGCAGTGAAACGCAAATTATAAAATTTGATGCAGATTGCAGAGCCGGCAGACGCGTGTGAATACCGGAAAGTCGAAAGTCCATGGTTCTCCGATCAAACGATTGTTTATTCCGTCTATTTAATCAGCCTACACATTACTGATAAACGTATGCACTTTTATACTGTCTATAATGATTATTGTGATGCGAGTTTTAATTGGAGACAGCAGCAAATTGCGTACAAACCGCTCTGAACTCGTACATTATTTACTTGGAAAAGGTATTTAATTTAAAGATCTGTAAATTATATGCACAGGACAGGCTTGATACGAGTAATATACTGTAATATAGATAAAGTATATCAATAATATGTATGAAGACTGCTAATTCTGCATAGACAGCATAGTGCACATTCTGCACAGTCTGCGTGATGCATAGTGTGCTTGCTTAGGATGAATAATGCGCCAAGCAGCCCACAACATTATTATAAATACTCGTATTAATATAGCGCGTAAATCGATAATCGAGCGGAGGGAAGGTCTTTTCATACTTCTTATAGCCGCCACAATAGCCAGCAGGCTGTTTTGCCGCCCTATATAACGAAGTATGTAAGTAAAATATCACAAATAACCCGCCTGTACAATCCAGTTGACCAAAACTTTATTTTGACGGTGTTCATACTGCGGCAAAATAGCCGTAGCCCGTAATAAAAGTTGCGGCGTCTTTGGATCGATCCAAACACCAAATACGAACTGGACAAGCCTTGATATTTTGACCCGTCTATTGCAGAGGTGTTTTGATGTGTTTGACGAGATACACAGCACGACGATGTTTGACGAGACAACACCGGCGCTTTGGTGTTTTGATGCCTTGTCTGAGGTTTATACAATTACGTGTTACACAACTCAGACAATACACGTATGTTGCTTAAATTCAGGCACAAAAATATAATGACGTTATAAGATGGCGACGCAAGGACACTATGAAAAGTACAAAGGAAAATAAAAAAAGGGTGAGACTATAGGCACCCCTTTCACCCCCGTTTGCTATAGGCACCCCCTTTTGCACCCTGTTTTACTATAGGCACCCCTTTTCCGTTAGATAATTCTCGCACCCCGTTTTTCTCCGCGGACTATAGGCACCCATTTTTATTTTTTTTTTCGCAGAAGACTGACAACAATGTTTTGACAGTCTTTTTGTTTCACAAAATTTTTTGAATTCCAGCACCGTCTTGGCCAGGTTTCACCTCTTTCACAATTACCTGCTCATTTGGCTGAGCGGCAGTTGCCAGCACTGGGAGAGATGTTTTTGTACTTCAGGGTATCCGCTTTGGGATGCGTTTTTCCCAGGCTTTCAGATCGCCTGACTACGAATGTTTGGAACGTATCTCTTTGATACTGCTTGAAAGCAGCTTCGAATTCGGAAAACGCCGGGTAATTGTCCTTCAGGTCGTTTTCTTCGGTAGTGGTTGGGTAAACCAGGTCATTGTCGGATCGTGGATTATTTTCGGATGGGCTATTTATTACAGAACTGTCAGACATTATTATTACAGAGCTGTTTCTCCTGCAGCAACTCACATGTATTACAAAAGTAACAGGCAAAAGATCCGGAGCCGGTGGTAAAATGACTTTCTTGAAAATTTTCTAAGGTCAACAAAATTCGACCTTAAAACATAGCAACGGACAATAGGGGGTGCCTATAGCTTTCGCACACGACGGGGTGCAGAGATTAATTAATCGAAAAGGGGTGCCTATAGTCTAAGTGGGTGCGAAAGGGGGTGCCTATAGATAACGGGGGTGAAAGGGGGTGCCTATAGCCATTTCCATAAAAAAAATTAAAAAAAAAACGGAGCTCCTAATAGTTCGTTAGAGCACGTTCTTGATTCTAAAGCCAGATGATTTAAATAATGATTGTTTGAGAAAACAGTTTTGACACTTCCGGTCGCACAGGGCGGTCTCGGAATCCGAAGCCCTGAGAGCTCGGAATCCCGACGTCTTAGGCATCGGCTAACTCAGTGGCTACACTGACTAGCGAGATAGTGGATTTCGACCCGGAAGTGTAAGTACTCTTGCGGGACTTCAGAAGAGTGGCAGCGAACGACCAACGCCAATTTCCGACTTCCGAAACCCGAAAACTCCAGAAGACGTGGGATGAACCAGTCTTCAGCCGGCATAGAAAAGGAATTGCAATCAAGTGGTAAATGCCGAACCAACGGCAAGCGCCCCGATGGAGTAACGTTGGTCCCGTGGGAAAAGAGGAAAATGCTGACCTGGGACGCCACATGTGTGTACACGGTGGTTTTGTCACACATTGCGGCAACATCGAAACACAAGCAGGGGCTGCCGCGGCACGCGCAGCGAGAACAGGAAAAAGTGGCGAAGTATCGGGAAATCGCCCTTGGGTACACATTCCGTACCGCAGGCGTCGAAACACTCGGAACACTCGGACCGGACGCTTCTCGCTTGGTCACCGAAGTCGGGAAGTGTTACATGCGACAGGAAACAGGCGAGGTACGGGCGACGAAGTATCTGCGCCAGCGGATCAGCACCAAAATCCAACGCGGGAATGCGGCCTGTCTTGGGAACAGCAAAAGCATCGGCTAATTTGGATGAAATGTTTTGTGTGATTAGGACGCTTATTTCCGTAATCGACTGAGGCTGTGTAATCAGCACAAATATCTTTTAATTTTACAGCTGTAAACTTGTGACTGCTTTATATCGCCAATCTCAATAAAAACAAACATCTTTAGGACAGTAAATTATAAATTAATGCAGCACTCGTCACGGACCAACCTTTTTATAAACTTTTGCGTGTATTTTAATTTTTTTTCATAGGTTTTCAGTGATTTTTGATTTTTTATTTCGTTTTAAAATTTCTGAAAAAAGTTGGAATGCAGATATATGTACTTACGTTAGTAACTTACAGTACTGTATAGTGTATAAGTATTATGTACTGCCAGCCTGCCGTTAAAGCTTCGGCACGCTACTCAGAGTCTCAGATGTGTCATTTCCCGAACATCAGCTGTGTTTTGATTTCAGCTTGCTGATTGCAACTGAGTTTTGTTTTCAATTTTCATGCTTAATTTTCCAACATTTTCCCCCGCCTGCAGCTGGTCAGTATATTGCTGGACATTTGTCAAACGTATCTGAAAATTAGCATGCTACGAAGATGAGCTACTCCAACAATTCCAGCCCGAAATCATTTTCCGTCAATTTGGAAAGCCCGATCAAAGCGATGTAGGCCACCACTATCTTAATGGCACCCCCTGTGTTTCTGTCTAACCTGTTGGCTGAGTAAAACCAGGGTTCAGTTCCTTTGAATCCTGGTAATCATTTTTTTGCTACTGATATGGATTGCAAATTTACAGTGCCTTGAATCGCGATGCTTCCCAAGTGGTGGCAGCTGGACGAAACTGTACGTATGCTGTATAATGCTGAGCTGCACAGATAATTTAATGTCCCGGGTTACTCGCGCCTCTTGATGATGTTTCATCGTTGGTATTTTGATCGCAGTAATCCGGATCTTCGGGATCGAAGAGGAGAGGTTCGCGGAGAAGGAGAATCTGCGTTTATCGAAACGCAACAGCCAGTTTAATGGCGCCTGCACCGATGTGGCGTGGAATCCCAACGACGGTACAGTATCAATTTGATTTTGGAAGATTTTTACTGGTGGTTGACTCGCGGGGTCCCCGTTGATTTCTTGACAACAGTCGTGTGATTTTTGTTTAGAGACAATTCTGGCCACGGCGACGACAGCGGGAGCGGTTTGTGTGTGGAATTTGCCCAATAATTCCAGCGTTCGACAAGGTAAATAAAATACCAAAAGTTAATCCAAAAGCCAAATTAAAAAAATTACAATACAAAAATTACAAAAGCTCTGCGCATAAATTCTGTATAAATCACGCACCTTGAAAAAAATTAAATAGCGTTAATTAATTAGCGTAAATTAAATTACTGTATAGCAGCCTAAAGCGTGAATTACATTTTGTAAGCAAATAAAATGATTAATGAAATTAGGTAAATAACGGTTGTGGGTTTTTAAATTATGTAGGTTTGCAGCTGTTTAATAATTGTAATTTTTAATTTTTTTTTCGTGTTATTAGAGATTGTGTTTGATATAGTTTTGGACTAATTTTCTGTACTGTCAGCGGTCAGGCAAAATTTTCGGTTTTGGTTTTTGATTTTTAGATGTCGTCTTCACGGAACATCGACGCACTGCAAATCGGTAAGCCAGCTGAATATATTCTGATAATGTCATAAATATTCGCGAAGCAAATATTCGTGTATTTATTGTTTTAAAATCTTTAATGTCCCCAAAACGGAATTTGTAAGCAGTTGATCTATATTGAAATTTTTTTATCCTTTTGCTGAGTGGCTGGTTTTCGTGTTTGCTCTCTGTGTGATTCTTTTAATTTTTCTTCGTTTTATTTACCTTCTGGATAATGTTAATTGTACTCTTTGTATTAGTTCGATAATTGCAGTTTAAGAAAACATTATGTTGAATGCTTTGTTGTTTTACAAAAAATAATATGAAAAAATGAATTTGTTTGGTAATGAGCTTTTTGATTTGCAGAGTCAATTTCCATCCGCGCGAGCAGAATCTGCTGCTGAGCGGCTCCCAGGATACCACGGCGATACTCTTCGATTTGCGAACTGCAAAGCCGCACATGATCTTTAAATGGTAATGTGTGATTATTCCTTGCTTACTGCGTAGAAAATGACTAGCTTTGTGTACGGTGCTTTAGATTTTGTAATTTCCCGGTCAGCGGAATTCTTTTCAGATAATGTTTTATCGCGTTGG